TGCAGGGCACTCCTGAGTCTCGGGTTCCCACTTGTCCCAGGAGTTAACGTGATGGTAGATCATCGAGAAAAGGTGGGCGGATTCTCGGTCCTGCGGGTCTAGGAAGGTTCTTGGATGGGGCAAAGCCGGCCAACCAGCTGCTGCCCTTCACCTCCTCCGACTGAAGCAACGACCCGCCACCTAACTAGCAGCCCAGCGATAGCGCTCCTTTCCTGGTCGCGTAGTTCCAAAGCGTTGAGAGGATTGTCTCTATACTGAGAGAACGGGGGTCCCAAATAACGAGGTAAAAGAACCACAGCAAAACAAGCCCCACGTTCTTAAGAGGCTAGCATGTTTTCCAGAACAAACCACTTAAACCCAACACACTTTAGGTGTTTTAAGTTTTAAAATGGCTCATAAACAATTTGTATGGACAGAAGGTAAGATCTCTTTGGGTTATGATGGGAAAGTTTGTGGAACAAATAATAGTAATCCTGGGGTATGATTGCCAATGAGAAACACTCTGTTTAATCTCATCTTCCACTAAAATGTACCTCTACATTACACAACCCATAAAGCTGTAAGAGAATGCTCTTTGCAAGAGATATATTTTAAAATAAAGCAATGACTTAACATTCCAGATGTTTTTAAAAACCCTTTTGTTGTGGAATCTAACATGTGCATACAACCCAGGTGGGCAGGTTCAAGAATTTCTGTCTCTGAGAACACCTGTTGCAACCACCACTCAGTCAGGAAACAGCATTGCCAACAAGCCCAGAAGCCAACTTGTGGCCTTCCCTTCACCACTCGCTCCTAAAGAGGATTACTTTCTTGACTCACAGTAATCACCTCCTTGCTTCCCTCTTCCCTCCACATTTGGCTTCATTTGCTCAATTCTATGTTGAGAAATTGTGTTGTTTCCTGTGGCTGTAGTTTCCTCTCATTGCTGGAGAGCAGTGGCTCTCAACCTTGGCTGCACATTAGAATCACCTGGGAATCTTTCTAAAATCCTGATTTGTGGGCCTCATCCTCCGGAAATTCTGTTTCTTTGTTATGGGGTAGGGCCACAACATTCGTAACAAAGAAACAGAATTTCTGGAGGATGAGGCCCAGAAATCAGGATTTAAAAAAAATCCCAGGTGATTCTACTGTGCAGCCAAGGTTGATTACTGCTGCTGTAAAGGGATGCATACCCCATGCTGTACCACCATTTGTAAGTATGCATTTCATTCTTCATGGACGTTTAGGTTGCTTGCAGGTTTTGGCTATTACAAATAGTGCTGCTGGGAACGTCCTTTACCGGTACTCTCCTTCTGCACAAGTCCATGCAGCAGCCACACTTGGAATTAACAAAAGTGGAAACATTCCTCCCATTTCTGGTACATGAGTTGTGGTCTCTCATTGAGGTTTGAATTTGCATTTCCCTGTGTCCTACTAGGTTGAGCACCTCTTCATGCTTACTGGCCAGTGGTTTTTCTCTTTTGTGAAGTATTTTGTTCAAAAATATTGCCCATTTTGTTTCTGGATAACCTTTTGTTTATTGAAAATGTTCAATATATTTTCCCACTACATATATACAGGGTGGGGCCAAAGTTGGTTTACAGTTGTTCATATGGAAAATAATACAATCCTATATAATAGAGGTAATATGCAAATTAACCCTCACTCCATCACTCCATCACAAGATGGCTGTGCCCACAGTGGAGGTGGGGTTCCCATAACGAGTTGTAACGAGCAATCAGAAGGGACCTGATTCTGCGTGGAGCTGGGCCGGGGTGGGACCTGAAGCTGTGCCCCCCACCCAGTGGGGCTTGATGGGGGGCCTCAGGCCACGCCCCCTGCCCTGGGCTGGGGGACCTGAGGCTGTATCCCCCACCCCATCACCGGGCTGGGGTATCTGAGGGTACACCACAGGACCTGAGGCTGCAGCCCCCACCCGGCACTGGGCTGGGGGACCTGCGGCTGCGCCCCTTGCCTGGTGGGGCTGGCCGGATCTGAGTCTCGTGCAATTTCAAGGTGCAGGTGGGTGCGCGGGGACTTGACTCTGGGTCCCACGGCTTGCCCCAGAGTCTGACAGAAGGAAGATTTTCATATACATTTTACTAATTTCTTTCATCTCTGACACTTCTATTATAGAGAAAGGGCAAATAGCAATATTAAAATATTTCCTCTAATCAATTCCCTTATGTGCAGCACAAATTCGTGCACTGGGCCACTAGTAATTAATAAATCCTATATAATAAAAGAGAAACATGCAAATTAACCATCACTCTGTCACTCCGCTACACCCACCAGCCAATCAGAGCGACTATGCAAATTAACCCAGCAAAGATGGTGGTTAATTTGCATACGCAGGCACGGAGCAAAGACTGAAGACGACTGAAGATGGTGGCAGCCACGGAGCTAAAGCAAGCAGGAGGCTTGGGTTGCTCCTGATGATGGAGGAAGCCAAGCTTCCCACCGGCCCTGGGCTCCGCTCAAGGAGTGGCTGGGGGCCTGGGTCACCAGGGGCGACCCAGGCTTCCAGCCCGCCCTGAGCTCCGCTCAAGGAGGGGCTGGGAGCAGCCGGAGCGGAGAAGCCAAGCCTCACTGCTGTAGCCAGACCAAAGGCCTGGGTCCTGGGTGCTGCAGGAAAACTGGTGCCGGCAGCCAGGGGAAGGAAGGCCTATTGCGCGAATCTTCGTGCAACGGGCCACTAGTAATAATATAAAAGTAAAATCTGTTTCTCGTACTCACAACTGTAAACCGACTTTGGCCCCAACCTGTACAGTATATATTCCTCCACTCTGCTTTGCCTTTTCACCTTCATAATAATGTCTTTGATGAACAGGTGTTCTTCATTTCAGTACAAGCTAGTCTATCAACTTTTCCTTCATTGTTAGCACCTTGTGTGTCCTGTTTGAGACATCTTTCCTACTCCTAGATTATAAAGGTATTTTCCTATGTTATCTTCCTACATTAACCTTTCACACTTAGGTTTCAAATCCACCTGGAATTGACTTTGGAATATGGTGTGAGGTAGAGGTCAAGTTTCATTTGTCTGTCTGTCAAATTGTCCTAGCACATGATTAATTTCTTCAGTTACATCAACAACGCAATTAATTGCTTTATTTAAAAAAGTAATGGTAACACTTCTAAAGTCAGGGAAATAGAAACCACCTCTTCATTATCTGTAGATAATTTGAGAATTTTAGTTTATTTTTGTAGGAAAAGAAACCATTATAAAAAAAACATTTATACTACTTTATTTCACTTACACATTTATGTCAGACTTGTTTACTTTATCATAAATAATTACTTAAATCACTGGCATAAGCATTCCTGAATTTTGAATCACTTTCATTATAAATGTTAAATATACATTTTATAAAGCTAGAAAGATAATTTTAATGCTTTATACAAAGAACTTAAAACACCTGGTCTTTAACTTCTTTCTGTTCTTTCTTTCCCTAGATTTCCTCACACAAAAAATAAGCAAATGACTTCAAGTGTTTTACCTTCAGCCTGGTGTTCTCCCTGAAATCCACTCCATATCTCCAATAGTTTGTGCATATCTTTACCCAGAGGCCTATTAGCTTAAACTCAGTATGTTCAAAACCAAAATTTTAAGCTTCCCAGTCACACTGAGTAATGGTCACCATCCTAGCCTCTCAGACCTTAAGACTTGGCAAAACTTTTTTTTTTTTACTTTTTTTCCTGGCATCACTCTTTGACACCTCTTTTTCCTTATCTTCTATATTCAAGATGTCAGTACTAGTCATTCTAACCAAGAACTTCAAAAAGCCTTTAATATTTTTTCTTTAGTCCCATTGCTCCACTTTAGCCAGGGCCTCCCCTCCTCATCTTTAGGCCACTGCTAAGGCCTCCAACCTGTCCCTCTGTCAATCCATCCTGCCTGCTCCTTAGCAAGCACACCCATTACATGTGCCTGATGCGGGCAAGATAGCATTCTGTGTGTTGTGGAGGATACAGACAGTGGTGCGCTGGAGTCCACTGTACCGGCTTCAAGAGCCGCTTGGGTGCATCTCCCACCAACTCCACACTCAGTGATATCACACTGTCAGCTGGAACTGAACAACGGATGGAGTATTTACAACATAGGAGTCATCACACTTTGCAGATCAAGGTTCACCGACCACACCCAATAGAACTAGTCGTCAAACATTTACCAGCACATCACTGCTCGAGAATACCAGTAACCCTGGATGAACATGCATGGGGTTCGGGGACCATATAAAGGTCCAGTGTGACTGGCATGGGGAATGGTGGACAATGAGGTTGGGTAGGGAGATAGTAGAAGGCCTGGGTCTTCAGTCTGGACTCCCTGCCAGTGGTTGGCAAACTCGTTAGTCAACAGAGCCAAATATCAACAGTACAACGATTGAAATTTCTTTTGAGAGCCAAATTTTTTAAACTTAAACTATATAGGTAGGTACATTGTTATTAACTTAATTAGGGTACTCCTAAGGCAGTGATGGCAAACCTTTTGAGCTCAGCATGTCAGCATTTTGAAAAACCCTAACTTAACTCTGGTGCCATGTCACATATAGAAATTTTTTGATATTTGCAACCATAGTAAAACAAAGATTTATATTTTTGATATTTATTTTATATATTTAAATGCCATTTAACAAAGAAAAATCAACCAAAAAAATGAGTTCGCGTGTCACCTCTGACACGCGTGTCATAGGTTCACCATCACTGTCCTAAGGCTTAGGAAGAGCCACACTCAAGGGGCCTGACCATGGCCCTGGGCAATGAGAAGCCACTCAAGACTGGGGGGAGGGGCATACTGGTGAGCCTGGCTGCCCCTCCTGCAGCACCACTAGCAATGCTGGTGTGCTAAAGACTCGGGATAGTCTTCACAGGGTCTGGCGACTTTGGGACACCAGGGTAGAGTTAAGTCACAAAATTCTCAGTCTAACTGGAGAAGAACCCAGTACTGCAAGGAAGCCAACATGAATAGAAAGGGAAACGCTTCATCTTAAGATCATAAAGCCTAGAAATTAGGAGGTAGTCAGTTTTTATATTGATAAACATTTTAATCTAATATTATAGTAATAACTCAAGTGCAATTTTTTTTGAAAATTCAACTCTGTTAAATACTACTTATTAAATAGTTTTCACCAAACATAACATATTCTTTTCAATCCCCACAGCAGTCAGAGCCATGTAGCAGAGATAAGATTTTTTTAAACCTACTACATTTTGTTATTGCTAGAAAATCTGAATTAGTCGTGGAGGTCTCAGAGCAGCGATTAATTAATTTTTGAAAGCTCTACCAAATATTCTGACATATAATCATGAATCCAGATATCCGTGTCTGGCAGGGATGTGTCCACTAAATAGACCACCGCTTTCTGGTCCCAAGGGTTAGCACCTTCTATCACTGTCTGCACCAGTGCCACCAGAGGTTTCTTCTCCACATGATTCCGAAACACCATGGAAGCCTCCTCAGACCACTGGTTGCACTTCACTCCTAGGAGAAAGAGCAGAGCAGTGAGGGGTTAAATGAGCCTTTCCCTGCCCCACTATAATGGAAAACTACTTAGTCAATTCCAGAGTCGCTTAAACATCCCAGGCTGGACTTGCCTAGCTGAAAAACAGTTGCAGAACCGTCTTGAAGCAGTCCAGCTTATAGTTTTCTATTCTAAATGGGTTACTTCTGTAGACCTTTTTCTACAGACACAGCTTTATTTGAGGTTTAATGCTGTGTTATAAAATGAAGTTATAATAACTACTGCACATTTCCCTACATAAAGTACATGCAGATTTAAACCAATAATAGACACAAATAGGGGGAATAAAATATCAATGATACCAATAACATTTCTCTTATTTATAGATTTTTTTCCTGATGAATGAGATATAGTAAAAAAGCATTAATATACTAATTTTTCAAAATTTTATTATACACAACATTAGGGCAAAAGCACCGGATTGAACATCTGGAGACTCAGTTACTATTTCCAGCTCTTCCTCTATCAAGTGGTCTGATTTGGGGCAAATCAGTTTATTTCCCAGGCCTTGGTTTACTTATAAAATAAACTGGTTGGATCAGATGAAATTTAAGTCCCATGCATTTCTAAATCCCCATGACTTTTGTTTGTTTTGTTAGTCCTCACCTGAGGATATTTTTTCCATTGATTTTTAGAGAGAGTGGATGGGAGAGAGGAAGGGGAGGAAGGGAGGGAGAGAGAAAGAAAGAAAGAGAGAGGGACATCGATGTGAAAGAGACACATCCATTGGTTGCCTCTGCATAAGACCCCACCAGGGCCGGGGATTGAGCCTGTAATCCTGGTACATGCCCTTGACTGGGAATCAAACCTGTGACCCAATGGTGCGTGGGCTGACACCCTAAACACTGGCCAGGACGTCGCAGGTTTTTTCTTAATGCTACAATAAAAGTATAAAGAACCTAAACATCCGACAATAGGGAAATAATGATCAAACAGAATATTTTGCAGCTATTAAAATCATTATTAAGACCATCAAACAGCCGCCCCCAAATTAGGGGGGAAATGCTAAGTGAAAAAAGCAGATTGTAATATTGTACCTGTACTAAGATTATAGCTTTAGAAATAAACTCATACATGAAACCATCGACAGAAAGGAATGTGGAAAAACAGAAATAGCAGGTGTAGTTGGAAGGCATGACTGTGAGAGACCATTAAAAACTATTTCCATTATGGTCGGGAAGCTGTTTGTGCTAAAAAAAAGTTACCTCAATAGGCCAATGACTCTGTACTCAGGACAAAATGACAATATAAACAATGCTGGGGAATGAGTTCAAATTCCACAGAAATTACCTGCTAGTTGAGCCGTGACTGCTTGGAATGGCAGCTTTCGGAACATGTCCACTAGGGGCTGTACTTTTCTGATGTTGACTAACTCGTGCTTGCCATAGTCCAGCTCGTACACGGATACCAGTCCATTGGTCAGGATTCCCTTTAATAGCACCCTGTGCCACCTACGTGTGCAAAGGATTGAAAAGGAAGAAACATACAAAATCAACACCTGCTTTGGTTAAGGATAACATTTTACAATAAAAAGAAAAATGAATATAAATGATGATAATCAAAATATAGAACTATACTATCATAGACGTTTTTAAAGAGATTGCTTCTTCTTTTTCCAAAGGTTACTATTCTCGGCTTTATCACTGGCTCATTTGGTGGAATTCTCTCACTCCAACAACCTTTTTCAGGCCTCATGAAGCTAAAGGAGAATGAGACCATCTACTGACCACCACTAAGCAGAATGAAACAAATGCCATGGAGGGTGATCAGGACAAGGCTGGTAGATCCCTTCATTCTGTCGGGGAGACAAGGATGGCCACACGTTGGGGGCAAGGCACACGTGTGGAAGACAGGAAGAGGGAGGCAAGCAGGACCAGGCCAGGCTGAAGACACGCAAGAGAAGAAAAGCACAGGGGACACCACAGGGCATGGTGTGTTGGATGGAGCAAACACTACAGTGGAGCGGGGAGGTGGGACGTGGGGAGGAATGGAAGAGAAAGTCAGACTGGGAAGGGAGGTGGGGAAGAGATTATAAAAAATAATGTAAAGTTGACAATTTTAAGTATGCCAAGTAAATGCATTGAGAAACAAAACAAAGAAATCTAACCTATTGCTTAAAGGGTAGGACAATATGGGGGAAGATCCAGTGTTCAAGGTGCCAGAAATTTACACAAATATACTTTTCCCCTCTGGGCCTTTTCTCATTAAAATGAGAAAAACCTAGACCTCCAAGTTCAGGAATGAAGGACCATGTTAAAGTCCTAGAGTCTTGCTCAGATGATTACACTGAGGTGAGGATGGTTGTTCATAATGTCTGAAAGGCAAGTCTCTGCTCCTGCACGGTGGGCGTCGGGGCCTGACTCAGGGGGCAGGCCTGGACACCCTCTGAAACACGTATATCAAGCACAAGCCCCGTGAACAGCAAGCACCTCACTGCAACACTGCTGGGCGGGGCCAGACTGGACCCATTCCCCAGCAACGTGCACCTAGTGGGAAATGGGCACAGGAAACCTACACAGGTGCCATACGGGTGAACTGCAGTAAGAAGGCTACAGAAAGGCTTCTTCAACACTGATGGGGCACTGCTGGGGGAAATTCCATAAACCTTCAGATCAGGCCAAAGCGCAGCACGCAAAAATCCATGAGTTGCAGAGACAACAGGGACACAAAAAGGTACCCTAATAAGTACCTAAGAGCTTTGCGGGCCAGACTGCTGAGCCGGAGTCCCACCTGAGCTGGGCCATTTTCCAGTTGCGTTACCCTGGGTTCTGTTTATTCTCTGAGCCTGTTATCTCATGGGTAATATGTAATTTTAATTCACTTGCAGGAATAATATATACAAAGCACTTAGCACTTTATGTACTTGACCTTTTAGGCACTTTGCAAATGGTAGCCATTATAATTATTATTAAAATGAAGATAAGCTGTGTAAATATAAGAACTTCAGACCAAATTAAAGAGAACTTTTCATATATGGAAATGCCAGCTTGGTGCATGCTGCTAATTTATTTAAGTGCAAAAGGAAATTAAAACATTTGGTTTCAGCCAATAGCAATGTCTTCAAATTGTACAGGGCAAATGGTGGTGTCTGTGCTGTTAGTCTATAAGTAAGAGGTGCAGAGAAGTGAGGAGAGAGCCATCAGAGAACTTAAGTGTTGGACTTTTACTCAGCTTCCAACTTTCAAAACTAATAGCTTAAGTAAAGGCTAGATTTCCAATTTCAGTGCAAGGCTGCTTGTGAATCTCCTGGAGAATCTGTTAAAAACACGGATTGTGGGGTTCCACCCCCAGCGATTCTGATTCAGGGTGTCTGGAGTGAAGAAGGAGAATCTCCATTGTTAATAGGTTTTCTAGGTTATTCTTAGCCGAGATAGATTTGGAAACCACTGTAATAAAAAAAATGCATCCAAAATTCCTACTTCTTAACTTACCTTACTTGGAAACAAGGTGTATTAAATAGTCCTGGGTTGTAAGCAAGATAGAAACTCTAAACATTTTACATTGTTTCCGTTCATAAAGTAAAAAAATCAGGGAATCTTTTCTTATCTATAAGACACCCCTTGTTTATCTGGGGGACAGATTAATTGGTTGAAGCCCAAGAGTCCTGGGGTAGAGCTGTTGGGCACATGGGGTGAGGGGATCGGAGTTTAATGTCCCATACTACAGGTCTCCTCCACACAACCCTTGCCTCCAAGTAGAACCCCCCACTAAGTATCATTAATCTGCCCCTCAGATAACAGGTAACAGTAATTTGATTTTAACTGTGATTAAATTATCCTGCAAGGAATTCTGAGGCAAATTTATACCAACATTGTTTCCATTGTTCTGAATGAAACATATTTATGCTTATTGTTATCAATAACTTGACACAGTAAAAATGCTTTTTGGAAGATGAAAAACTTCCAACATGTTAGTTGAATGCTTTTCAGAATGAGAAAAAAACCTACATAACAAAAGAGAATGATAAATTATGATTTCTCTGTATGATGGACTATTTACTCAGCCATTAAAAATGTTTATGAAGAAATTTTATTACATGAAAAACTGTTCACAGGATTGTCAGGTAAAAGAGTAAATACAAAATTATACATAATAATAATAATCCAGCTGTATAAGTATGTAGAGTAAAAACTAAAAGAATTCCATAAGTAATTGAAGAAATACATAAGTAGTGTCTGGTTGACTAATTTTCATTTTGTATACTTTTTTGTATTTTTAAAATTTTCTACAATAAATATCTTATTTTTAAAATTAAAAGGTTATTAAATAAAAATATTTTCTGAATAAACAAATATATTTTCTAAGAGAAAAGTAGAAAAAACACTTAAACCGTCACTTCAGATATGGTTAGGTTTTAATAGGAATATGATCACTAGATTTTTAGATAAATGATGTCATTTTAAATATTAGAAAATTGCATAATTCATTAGTCTCATTTCACATTAGAAACTCCCATTCGTGCTGTTCAAAGCCCCCCTGCAGGGATTAAGGACTCTTGTTATCACTCTACACATTTCTCTTAGAAAAAGAATAAAACGCTGTGTCCAGGGACCTACTTATTTTCCACTTTGGCGGCGTACACTTGGTCTTTCTCCACTGCCACGCGGCGCTCCTCAGACACACTGTAGTACAGGATCATCTCCTCCATCAGAACCTCCAGTTTATGGATCTCCTGCCAGCGCTGGATGACAAAGTAGCCCGGGTGGCAGGCCACAGGCACGTACACATCCATGTGTTCCCCTGGCTTTGCCAAGTGCACAGGAGGCGGCAGCTGCTCCGTGGAGAAAGAGCTGATGTGATCCACCACGGGCTTTTTGCTGACTTCCACGAGGCTCTTTCTGATACTCTCCCCGGTGTTGCTCTCAGTGACGGTGTGCCCGCCTCTGCTGTTGGGAGAGCCAGCTTCACTGGCGAGGGCACTCAGAAACACATCCTTCTGATGCTTCCACAAGTCTGCGTTTGTAATCTGGCGGTTAATGCTGCGGTGAGGATCAGGGAAGTTCTTAGGAGTAAATAAATAAACGTGGTTGACCCCTCTGGTTTCATCCATTTTTGTAACCTTTGAAAAACGGAAAAAACCAATTCAAGAAATCCAAGTTAACACTGAACTCCGAGAGGTGGTTATAATATTTACGTTAAATATTAAAGCACAGTATTTTGCAAAAAAAAATCCCCACCCCAACTTGTTCAAAGTAATTTTATTTAAGGACAGAGGAATTATCTATCACATCTGTAGCAATGGATAAGCTCTTAAGTAGTCTAGCAACCAGCAACAAGCTTATGGAAGTGAAAAATGTACTAACTTCCAAATCTCTGAGAATACCTTCCAACTTGCTAGAGGTCATTATTACTGAGAGGAAATGATTTGATATATCATGATTACATTTTTAAAATTAATGACATTTTAACACACTCAAAATAGAAAGAAGAGTATGAGGAATCCGCATGTGCTCATCACTCAACTTCAATAATAATAAATAATCACAGCAATGGCAGAGCGTCCAGCAAGCATTCTGCTTAAGGCTGGTGTCCTCTCACACCGGAGGGAGGAAAAAGCTTTGACATTCGCCATACCCTCCGGGACCTCTGGTCTAAACTCCTTATTTGGTCCTAATATCTGCCCTCAGCCCTCCCCCCTCCTCAGTTACTTGAGGGAAGAGGGACCTCGGGAGTGAGAGAGGAGGGAAGCTCCGGGCCAGAGGGGCAGGTTGCACCTTTGCCCAGGAGACCTTTAACTACCTAGCTACCTCTTCCTGTCAGCGGAGTGAGTGTCTGCCTGGGAACACCAGAAACTGATAATGGGCTGTACTGCTGGGTGACTGACTGCAAGTCTTCTCATCAGCTCCTCTGGCTTATCTTAGAAATGACAAACATGAGATACTTCTAGCACATCTAGTTTTTATCACATCAGGCCAGGAGTGAAAGGCGGAGACCAGGCCTGAAGACAGGGAGACACCTGCAAGGCAATCCTGCTGCAGTGATTTACTTAAAATTGTTTTTTTTCCCCTGGCAAGATGAATCTACTTAAATTCATCATCTGGAGTGCTAACGAGGTACTGATTGCTAATTCATTTTGATACTTATGATACAGAAGTACCGTTTCAAAAATCAACCATAAAATATTTTTATTGAGTACCCAATGCTCTGAATTTAGGAGCTGAAAAAATAGCTGAGAAAACAATATTCATTATCATGTGTCAATTAAAGAATATAAAATGATACATAATTAAGTGAGGAACTGCACATTATAAACCCAAGAGGAATATGAAGAGAGGAAAATCAGTGTGAGCTAGAATAATTTAGAAATCTTCATGAAGGTATTTCTCAAGGACATTTCATTATTAAATTTTCATATAAAATGACAACACAATTTGCATTAGTTAAAACAGAGAAATATCATTTTGCATTTCTATTCTTGGAAATATTAGCAATGTTTTTGATATGAACAGTTGAAGCAAACTTTAGGAAAACAGGCAAAAAACAGGATTATAAGCAAATAATTTGTTTATAATCTATTAGAAAAAAAGAAATAGAGGACTTAAATGATTTTTAGAAACATTTATCAAGACATATATGGTGGTCCCTCTGTTGGGGATTTAATTCCTTATCACGGTACAAAATAGGAGCAGAGAACCATGTCTGCTACCTTGATAATAACGGGAAAATTATATAAAGGGTTTTAAAATAGTATTGGAGATACAGAGTAAGTTCTTTTTAAAAAATTTATCTTTATTGTTGAAAGTATTACAGATGTCCCCCCTCCCCCCCTCCCTTAACCCCTCTAACGTGGCCACTCCTCAGAATAAGTTCTTACATAAAAATTAAATCTGAGCCCTAACCCTTTGGCTCAGTGGATAAAGTGTCAGCCTGTAGACTGAAGGGTCCCAGGTTCGATTCCTGTCAAGGGCACATGCCCCAGTTGCAGACTCGATCCCCAGTAGGGGGTGTGCAGGAGGCAGCCAATCAATGATTCTCTTTCATCATTGATGTTTCTATCTCTCCCTCTCCCTTCCTCTCTGAAATCAATAAGAATATATTTTAAAAAATTAAACCATGAAATATCTTTTCACTACACATGTAACCAATCTCAGGTGTGAAAGCATCAGTTTACAGTAAGATAAATTCTTTCACACAAAAACAAATGAGCCCTTCTGGCTGACAGCTCCCTTTCTAAATGTATTGAGACCAATAAGAAAACTAACCTTAATGCTACAGTCCGAGCAATTCAAAACAGAATCTCTTAACCAAAGCACAGCATCTGGCGTCCACATGCCAACAGATTGTGGAACATCTGCTAAACAGCACCTGATGGCCTGAAAAAGAAAACATGATGGAAAAGCAAGCACACTACCTTAAAACAGGTACTTGTGAGTAACGTCAATATTATTTTCCTACAAGTCAGATGTTGCCAAGATAGAAAGCAAGCGACAGCAATAGCTAATAATGACAATCACAGTGCTCAGGCTGGAGCACCTGCTTTCTTCCTGGCTCTGTTTATATTATACTATTATCTTTACTCCTATTACCAGCGAACGCTCATACCAGGCACTTCACCTACTTCTCACCCTACAATACTTCTCTGCTTGACAGGCCAACGTTGTGACCCTATTATATAGAGGGCGAAACAGATGTGGGGAGACTATCAGATCACAAAACCGAGAAGACAGGATTGGGACTTAAGTCTAGTTCTTCCCTCTAAACCCAACTAAAAAAAAAAATGAAGTGTCATTTGGATGAAAACTGACTCCTGTTGGGAAAATCTTTTTGGAGGCTCATGTGCTTCATTCAGCATTTCCTGGGCACTCGTGGGTGCCAGGCAGTTCTGCTCACCTTTGGGAGGAGGTTGTAATGAGAATGAAGAAAAACTGAGACCCATCAATAGCTAAAAGCCTCAGTTCCCACAATCCTTTCGCCTTCCCGCACCTCTGCACAAGCTTTTGTAGAATGGCTACAGCAGGTGGTAGTAAAAGGTGACCTCAGGGACCCCTGCAGTCTCATGGAAGCCGTTGAACTGATGGAGGCAATTCTGTGAGGGGAACAAAACCTACTTCCTGGATTCCTTCTTTCCTCTCTGGGCTACATCCTCCCTGTCATATCCTCTTCTTTCAGGTCTGAGTCTCTCAATGTGTCCCCTGGATGAGGTCACACACTCTATACCTGCAGGGGCCAGGCAGGTGATGAGGGAGTGAGGCGGCCAGGTGGAACCAGCATACTGGCCCTCCGGGGAGAATGCCACTTCCCAAGCTCCACAGAGTACTGTCCCATAAAGGAGAACACTCAATATTGTCCGATTTTCTAGTTTGTCAAGTGTGAAATTATCTGATTTTTAAATTCTGGCAACCAATTCACATTTTAAAACACTAAGAGCCAAGAGGCCAAACCCAATATTCATGAGTCAGCTTTGGCCAACAGGCCATCAGTTTGCTGCTCTGACTTAGACCTTTTGGGGAGATGCTGTCAGCCAGAGGCTTGGCCTCACTGGCTTTTAAAGTCCCCCCAACTTCACATCTATTAAACAACGAATTTGGATAAGATTAATAGAAAAAGTTGTCATGGCTTTTAATGCTGTAGCTAAAGAAGGTCTTTGTGACTTTCAGACAGTCAGAAGCAGTGGGATGGAGCCCCCGTCTCCTTCCCCTCCGTAAGGCTGGCCCTGGTGGATGTTCTAACAAGGGGTATAGAGGCCAGAGGTGCTATCAAGGGAAAGTAGCACTTAAGAGTCTAACAATTTTTAAAATTATGGCGGAGCAACAATAAAAGTGACTTTGAAAACTGGCTTGATCCCAAGTTAAACAGCTGCTCTGTAATAGTCATTTTAGAAAAGGCAGTGGTAACTGGAGTGAGAGAAATAAAAGCCATGCTGATTATGAACAAGTGCTTTTTATTCACTGAGCTTTGATGGCATAAGATATCTTCTTGCACATATAAGTCAAGCAGCCTTTTAAAATTACAGAATGTTGAACAATTTTATTTTCAAAAAAGATTAATTTTTATACAAAATCCTCTACTTCTCCTAAAGATAGGAAATAGCCCAGTCAGCCTGGCTCAGTGCTAGCGTTGACCTATGAACCAGGAGGTCACGGTTAAATTCCTGGTTCTGACATGTCCAAGTTGTGGGCTCAATCCCCATCATGCAAGAGGTAGCCGATTAATGATTCTTTTTCATCATTAATGTTTCTAACTCTCTCTCCCTTTCCCTTCCTCTCTGAAATCAATAAAAATATATTTTAAAAAAACTAAAGGTAGGACATAGTTCTAAACAATTTAAATTAATTCAAAATTCAATTTTTTTAACAATAGAGGAGAAACAGGCTGAGGTTAATCTTTTTACTAAAACTTATGGGGAAAATATCATATAAGAAAATGTCAAATATAAACATATTTCCATAGATAATGTGTTCTAATCAAAGAACTCTGGAAGTAATTATTTACATACAAACCTTAAAGCTGTGTAGAAGTTGGCACTGACTAAATTATTAAAATGGAACCTCTAACTGGACAACATACCCCAATGACCGAACATACTTGAAAACAAACATCAAACAATGCTCTATAAGTCTGACTGGTATTCTTGTCTAAGACAGCTGAATTTTATATCTGGAAACGAGTGAACAACCACATTTGGATCATTTCCAATTTTGTGACAAACTCAGATTTCAATCATTATGAAGATCAAAACTGATTGGGCATCTCACAACATGATTACAAACACATTCAAGTCTCTTCCAGCAAACCTCCTGAGCTTGTAACACACAGTACCTGAGATGGTATCGAAACCATTTCTCGTAGAAACCGAGAGGGAATTTCCCTGAGCTCAGATACTTTTACGGATGTCACGGTGCCGGAGTCCAGAAATTGAACATCCAGAGTCCGGCTGCTGTGAACGTTCATGATCTGCAATGAGACAAGTTGGCTCATTAATGAGCACATCCCAAAGGTCAAAACGGTTCTGTGCCATGACATTTTGTTCAACTCTAAACTGCATGTAAAAGCAACACAGACTTCCGTTACCAAATTATCTCTTACTTTAAAAAGTACATGTATTCTTTTAGAGTAGATTGGATTTCAACATCTTGTTGTTAATTTATTTAGTCAGTACCAATCACTAAACTAGTAATAATCAGTAAAATTAACAAATATAGTAATATTTACTATATTTTCAATTCTAGGACACTACTGACTATAAAACAATTTGACACATTATGTATTGCTGATTATAGGATGCAGCCTGCTCTCCACAATCTTAAAATGTGAGAAAAAAAAGATTGTGTCTTAGCAATGTGGAAATAAAGAATAAAGATAATTCAGAGTCCGAATTTTACTTTTAGCAAGTAAATGCTATATTTTTTTAAACCATAAATGGTATTTTGTAGCTTTGCCATAAAACCCAATGATAATTATCTTCATTTGCTCTAACTAAAAATTTGAAACTCAGAAAGTCATAGAGAGGTAAAATAAGTCCAAATTAGTGATTCAAAAATGGGAAAATTACACATTAAATCAAGGCAACATTTGATTTATAAGATACTAGGTGAATCTTTACATGCCCATAATTTCCCTTAATAAGTCATTGTGACATTTGGCATCATTGAATACACTGGCCAAATGCAGCCCCATGAGGATGGTCATCTGGGTGGGAACTTTATGCCTACACTACACTAATTGCCACCATAGGAATGGTGGTGCCTTCAACATAGTGACTGCCATGAAAAACTGAACCAGTCTTGGCATGGAAGTCAGATTTCCCAGAAGTAAAGCCTATTCCACTGCTCCAGAGAATACTTTATTAATACAATTTTTAAATCTCTTAAGATATGATAAACACAAACAGTACAATGAGGCAGCCTTCTAAAATGTATTTATTCAAACATATACACTGAGTATTTATATTAGTAGGAATGTTATATATTGAATACTTATTATATCCAGGCATAATTGGGCCACAGAGATATACTTTCGCATCTTAAAGAGTTCCTAGTCTCATAAGAGATAATACAAATATATAATCATAAAATAATGTAGTACAGGCAATAATAAAGTTAGAAACTATGAGAACATAGAGGATGGGCACCTGACCCAGACAGGAAGTAGATGTTAGAGCAAGCTTTCAGGAGGAGAAAATGCCTAGAATTGGCATTTCACATATATCCTATAAGTGAATTATATATACATATATATTCTATAGGTTATAATTATCCTTTTAGTCTTTTATCCACGCTTTTACAAAAAAATTGATTTACAAAAATTAGAACATATGATACTTTAGAAAGTGAATGCAGACCACTCAGGATGTGTTTAGAGGAAGAGTGATGGCAGGGAGATGGACAACCATGAAATGAAGCTGACTGGATGTATAGAATAAGTTAAAAATGCATAGGTACTCAAATTGATGTGTCAAGAGCAAATATATCATTTAAACACATGATATGCTTTTCATTAATCAATTTTCCTTCCTTAATTTTCTATGTGCATCACTAAAAGAATAAACACTTTTGCTATCTCAAAGATATTCAATACACAATTTGATAGTAATAAAAATAGTACTAGCTATGATTCTAAAGATTTGAGCATATGCTGAAAAGTTATTTTTACCAAATAGGCATAGCCTGAAGAAACTGAAGTTGAGAGATACTCTACAAAATGTTGCTGCCCTTTAAAAGGCCATGAACAACAAAGACAAAGCAACTGCCAGGTTGGAGAAAACTGAGAGGACATGACAACTAAATACAACTTGGGATCCTGGGCCAGACAAAGGGCATTTGAGGGACAATCTGGGAAATGTCAGTAAGTTCTGAAGTGTAGTTAATAATATTGTGTCAATGTTAATTTCCTGGTTTTGATATTGGTTATATGCAAGATGATAACATTTGGAGATGGTCAGTAAGAGGCATATAGGAACTCTGAACTATTTCTGCAATTCTTTAAAAGTCTAAAATTATTTCAAAATAAAAGTTTAAAGAAATTAGTATTTGTGCATTTATATATTATACACTAAACATCACAAACTTTAAAATTCAAATAATGCCATGTTCTTCTTAATGAGTCATGTTTTTGAAGTTTATAGCTAAGCACAAAACTCTTGTTCCTATAACCCCAGATCTCAGCCTTCTGAGACACATTCACATTAATGACAAGAATTACATCAAAATCGCTGCATTCGTTAAAGTAAACATGACCAAGTTTTACTGAAATAAAGGGAAAATCAGTATAATTTAGTTTTCAATATATTGCTTACACAGTATTAAAAATCAATAGAGCAATGGTTCTTACCTTCTTAGGGTTAGTTTCTTTGAGAATCTTACAAAAATTATAGATATTTTCCCCCAAGATACATAATACACAAACACACACACACACACACACAATTTGCAAGAACCCTGAAAGTAGAGGTCTCCACACCTAGATGAAGAACCTCTGTAACAAAGGAAAAACAGAGAAAATAAAATAAAGCCCAACTTTTCCATTTTAACAATTGGGAAAACTAGCTATGTTTAAAAAAAGACACAAAGAACGGAAAGAAACAGTAACCACAAAAATAAAAAATCCATCTTTGAAAAACATGCAGAAATACATGATAAAATATAACAAACCTTTCAAATTCATAACTGAGCTCGTAAGAAAATAAGACACTCATAGGGAGTGGCAATAGAGGAGTGTGTGAACATTGAAGCCAAAGCCATTCTGGGCAGGAGGAAGAGAGGGTTTGAGACGCCCCCAAGAAGCTGGAACTCTCAAAGGGTCACAGCGTCAATGGAAGGGCAACTGTGGAGAGCAGTTAGGCAATCATCTCGTGAAGCTGAAGATATGTGTTTCCTATACCCAGAACTGCCTTTCCTACACATGTGCCCTGGGGGATATGCACAGGAAGGTTCGTGGTGGCATTGTTCATAGCAAACCATTAGAAACAACCTAAATATCCATCATCAGGAGAATGGAATGACAATGTTGGCATATTCAGACATGGTTACTTCACACAGCAATGAAAACAAATGAACCAGAGCTGCACATGTGGACATGGTTGAATCTCACAAAGAATAAAATGCATGTCTCAGAAGAACCAATACATTTTACTATTTATATATATATTTAAAAACATTTTTCATCTAGTTATACCATGTTCATTTATTTTTATTATAAATATTTGTATTCATTTCTATATTTCTAGTACCTGTATATGAAAGTATCTAGATAGTAAAAGTGTATGTATATAGATACAAACATAGCAAAAGTAAAACGAAATGAATAGGAATGAGAAACACCAAATTCAGGGGTGGCAGTAGAAGAAAGGGTTTGAAGACAGGGAGCATTGGCCATATTGGTCATATTTTATTTCTCAAATTGCTTTTTCCATTTTTTTAAAAACTTGTCTGTATGTTTGAAATATTTCATAATAAGTTTTTTAAAAAGTCAAGTGACGAATTTTTACCTCTACTCGCAACCATTTTCCTTTGCAATGGAAGAGGCAGATCTTCCCACAGAAGGGTAAGGAAACGAAGTACTCTGAGGTCATGTGCTGCAAAACAGAATGCATGACACTTTATTACTCTCAGCAAAGAGCATCTGCTACACCACCAGGGAAACAGCGTGTGGCACAGGCTGGCTGCTTCACCCACATGCAATCGAGGAGACAAGCCCAGGGTCACAGAACTTCTGCCTCGCTTCTCTGCACTTGTTGATGGCAGCGATCTATGCTCCGTCCTTGCACATGGCTCATAAATCAGCCTTGTTAAAATGTCTAAAAAGGCCAGGAGGGAGGTCAGTGTGATTCATGCAGGCTCTGGCGCCATCAGCTAAACATGAAGAGGGAGGATGAATTTGACAAAGGGCAGAACAGTGAGGAGGCTGGGCGAGCTGTCAATAAGGTCTCTTTATTCATCACTTAACAGTTAGATTCAAAGACAGGATTTTAAAATATGGACATCAGAGCCCATGAAAGCCAACACATCATAGCTTTAGGTCTCTTCATCCTCCTCTGCTCCACCCTTGAAGCTGGGGACCTGCCGCGGTATCTTACTCTTCCCCACAGGTCATGCCTCCACTTGGGTTACAAGAGCACCAGGGACTATCCAGAGTGCTTGTCACCACCATAGGTTGTAAGCACATGCATGCAAATGAGCACTGGCGTCAGCCTCTCTGGATGTGTCAGATTTCTCCAAGATAGACTAGCAAATCAATCCTAAGTAATGACCTTGAGATCTATCTAAAACATCTCTAACACAGAAAGAGGCAAAACTATAGATTTAATGCCTTAATTCTAGGCTGTAGTCTAAATACAGGCTTAACCTGATTCAGCACAAATTTAGGAAATACCATTCTATGTAAAACACTGGATTAGGTACTACAGCACCTGAATGAAGGCGCTTACCAGTAAAGCTCAGTCTCTGCCCTCAAGAAGCCTACACTCTAAGACAGTGATGGCAAGCCTATGACACACGTGTCAGAGGTGACACGTGAACTCATTTTTTTGGTTGATTTTTCTTTGTTAAATGGCATTTAAATATATAAAATCAAAATAAAAAATATAAGTCTTTGTTTTACTATGGTTGCAAATATCAAAAAATTTCTATATGTGACACGGCACCAGAGTTAAGTTAGGGTTTTTCAAAATGTTGACACGCCGAGCTCAAAAGGTTCGCCATCACTGCTCTAAGACAAACCACTATCCAAACAGCTAAAGTTCAGTACTGCATAAGTGCCATGAGGCCTCAGTGTGCTTTGTAGGTTAGAGGCCAGGGGTCACTTCCAGGGGCGAGGGAGTCAGGGTGGAAGTGGCATTAGGGTTTATCACTCAGAAATCACAGCATATTCTGCATTGTGACTATAATGTCCTAATGGAGCTAAGGAAATCACTTACAGCGGTTCTCAACCTGTGGGTCGCGACCCCTTTGGTGGTCGAACGACCCTTTCACAGGGGTCGCCTAAGACCATCCTGCATATCAGATATTTGCATTACGATTCATAACAGTAGCAACATTACAGTTATGAAGTAGCAACAAAAATAATTTTATGGTTGGGTCACAACATAAGGAACTGTATTTAAAGGGCCAGAAGGTTGAGAACCACTGCTTAGAACCTTAAATCAAAACCTCTACATATCCTGATTCAGAAAAGACTACTAGATTTAAAGGGTAAGAAGCGCATTAATAAATTTAAACTGCAGAACCACATTTGCTGAGGTGGTAGGTTCTCAGAGACCATAAAGAGCTTGGGGGAGGTGATGCCAGAGGTCTTATTCGCCTAAATTCCATGGTTTCACTGCTGCTCAAGGCAGAGGAGCCAGCTGGCTCTGGCAGACAGGCAGGCACTGTAGGATCATCACCTGCACCTTATCAGTAACAAATCTATCAGCTGCCGAGCACTTACTTAATTAGCCAGGCTCTGTGCTCATTACGCAGGCTTGCAACTGTTCTCCTGACAATCCCACGTGTACACAGTTTTACCCTCATTTTACAATGCAGAAACCAGTGTGTGTGGGGAAGGGTTTTGTTTTGTTTTACACTGGCAGTCTGTGGCTATTACCCACTATTCTACCTCAAACTATTCAAAAGTTACTCATATGTACATAAATGTAGAGGCCACTTATTTGCAATTTCAGGACTAACTTTAGAGGTAGATGATGCTCTGACATACCTTACAATGGAAGTAATCCTCTATCTTATGCAGAAGGTCATTGAGCTTGTTCAGCCCCTTACAAGGCACCTGGCAGTAGAGTGTGCCATCAGAGCAAATATTAGTCACTCTGACATTTGTGTACATGGCATCAACCTGGAACGAACAAGGACATGCCAAGGAGGCTTGAGAATAGAGCATAGTTCCTCCCTATGTAAGGGGTATCTATCTAAAAATCTTCTAAGTTCGCCCCAGCTGGTTTGGCTCAGTGGATACGACCTGCAGACTGAAGGGTCCCGGGTTCAATTCTAGTCAAGAGCACATGCCCAGGTTGCATGCTCGATCCCCAGTAGGAGGCATGCAGGAGGCAGCCAATCAATGATTCTCTCTCATCATTGATGTTTCTATCTCTCCTTCCCTCTGCCTTCCTCTCTGAAATCAATAAACACATATGTAAAAATCTTCTAAGTTGGAGGATAAATAGGACAGAATAAAATCCATAACTTAAATGTAAAAACTAATTTAGGTTCCTCTCTTTCCAAAAGAAATATCTGATATCATCTGTATCAGGCATATAACAGACTTTTTGCATACATTAACTTATTAACACTTTCCATTGTCTGAAAAGCTGAGAATATCCTTCACTTTAGTTTATTTTCTCTCCATTAATTTAGAAAAAGAATTATTACATAAAACATATTTTTTGCCGAAACCGGTTTGGCTCGGTGGATAGAGCGTCGGCCTACGGACTGAAAGGTCCCAGGTTCGATTCCGGTCAAGGGCATGTACTTGGGTTGCGGGCACATCCCCAGTAGGGGATGTGCAGGAGGCAGCTGATCGATGTTTCTCTCTCATCGATGTTTCTAACTCTCTATCTCTCTCCCTTCCTCTCTGTTAAAAAATCAATAAAATATATTAAAAAAAACACAAAAAACAAAAAGAAAACAAAACGTATTTTTTCAACATTACAGAAATGGAAATAAAAAATTATCACCAAATCAATCCCATTATCACCTACTTTCTAATCTGTGTCCACAGGCCACAAGAATTTTATAATTTAAAAAATGTTTAATCACAGTAGAGGTTTAATTTAGCCATCTTTAGTCAAATCATAATATAAAAATAATTCACTGTTGTTCTACTCATTAAAACAAATATTTTCCCAACATTGCCATGAAGCCTTTAAAATGATCATTTTTAACATATCATCCTATTCTTTACAGTGGCTGTTTTATAATTTATTTTTGTTTGTTTTATAATTTATTTAAAGGTTTTATTCTTCACATTTTTAAAATGTTAAAGCTAATCTATAATAATAAAAGCATAATATGCTAGTCTGGACTAGGCTGGAGCTGCAAGGGAAGCCTGGTGCCGGGTGCCAGAGGGAAACCGGTGCTGGCAGCTGGGGGAAGGAAGGCCTACTCTTGCACGAATTTCGTGCATTGGGCCTCTAGTTCTTTAATAAACATCTTCATTGATTTAATTTTCTTGTCTTTTGTAATATCCTCCCCTATTGTCTTTGCAAAATAATTTCATATGAAGTTATTACATATATTATAGAAACTAGAAAATAAAACAAAGATCCAATTCCTAATAATTACTATTATGGTTTTGGCATGTTCCTCACTTCCAGCCCCTCTGCCCCTTTTTCTCAATACATATGTAATCTGTCTGTATCTAGCATTAGCCTAAAATTTACAACATCCTTTTCTGATAACTTCCTTTCCTATGATACGTATAACAGTGATAGCAGTGGTCACAGTGGTACCTGAAGGTGAGCCTCGAGTGACTTGTCACATATGGCCTTTAAGCAGGTGGCATTGATATTGATATCATCTTCTCCTGAGGTATCATACAGAATAACAAGTGGAATATCAGCTTTTTCAAGAATTTCCACTGCAAAGATCTTCCCACAAGTTAAAGATTCAACCACCTTCACTAAACCAGGATCATCACTGAGAGCTTCCAACCCTGAAAAACAGTGAATATTTTAATTTCTACTTAGTTAGAAGAATCATTTTAAGATGGATAGATGGATTGTGGTTTTTATTTATTTATTTATTTCAGAGAAGAAGGGAAAGGGAGCGAGAGATAGAAACATCAATGACAAGAGGGTATCATTGATCGCTACCTCCTGCATGCCCCACACTGCAACCCAGGCATGTGCCCTGACCAGGAATTGAAACATAACCTCCTGGTTCATAGGTCAAGGCTCAACCACTGAGCCATGCCAGCTGGGTTGTGTTTGTTTTGGATACTTATTACAGTTAAGACTCTACTACAAAATTCTTAAATGTTATGGGGAAGCTGTGTTTTACAATCTCATTTAAATAACCACCTTTAGGTTTTAAAATATATATTATAATGTGGATGCCTTTTTGAATACTCACACTAAAACAGGCAATTTAAAACAAGAAGAAAAATTGACCATGAATCAGAATTTCTACCATAGAAGAAGTAACCTTCACCTTATATACGAACATATATTTTTTAAAAATCTAATGCATAAAAAATGCTATCAATCATGTCTGCCCATCATGTATTTGTAATGTTCTTTCCAAAACTATATCCTTGACTTTTTTTCATTTTCTAATTAAATATACACAATTATTTTTCTTATAAAAATGAACATGCATTTATTGGAAATTTAGACAACCGCCCTCCCTTCATTCCTTTTTTCCTTCCTTCTTTCTTTCCTCCTTCTTTCTTTTAAGTATACCATGATGACCCTAAAGATACCAAGGAACTTTCTGACTTATTGTAGAAAGATTCAATAGTGTTTATCATAATACGGATAGAGAGGAATTTTGTTTTATTCTAATTACTCTTCAAATTCTTTGAAAATTATAATTCCATGTATCGTATATGTGACAACTTTAAGTTAATCATTAAACTAATTAAAACTAGCTCTTGCCTCCCCAATGGTACTATAATGTCTATTTCTATATTTTTCGCCTTTAGGTCCATAAGCAAAAGCTCACAGGATCCCTCAGAGCAACATTTCTCTCATTCTTGTTCTGTTCTCCACACATATGACTTTATCGTTCTTATCAATTGCTCTTTCATTTCAGCATCCTCAATCTTGTCCTATGCTGACACATTCTTTTCAAAACGAACTCCCACAGGTTTGTAACAGGCTTTTAAAATAACGTGAGGTTTATCCCACAGATAGAGCCAAACCCAGCTCCTCTGACACAAAGATTTACCCTTCCTGGGAAGGAGGGATTTCTTCACAGGGCTAATTCTCATGAAAGAATTTTGATCATTTTCTGAATTTAGCTCAGCCTCTCCTGGCATGATGCATACATATTTCAATGTCTTTCTTCATCACTAATATGGCCACTGTATCCTCCATATTTCCAGTTTATCCCTACAATGTCCCTCTCACACATGTGCATTCCTCTAGCTCCTTGAGGAGGAAAGGAAAGAACAGTGACTGCCAGAGAGTGCACATGGCCTGTAGCCAAACTCATGCTTGGGCGCACGAAAGTGTGTTACTTGGTAGTAAGCAGCACCCAGAGTCCATCTCGCTAGGAATGAATGAAGCTGGGAGTCACTTCAAAACAGTTTGAACAACATGATTTAAACTGATCAAATTCCATGATACAGGGCCTCCAGCAGTTGTTAGTGGAAATTTAGATAAAAAACAACAATCCTTTAAGATAGCCAACAGACATATTTATAATAAAATAAAATATATATGTTCTATATAACAAAAATATAATAAAAACATTATATTTTTATAATGATCACATCTGATAAAGATGATATTAGACATGATATTTATACCTTTCAAAAAATAACACATTATAACACCTTCGGATACTTAGTACATTTTAGGATTTAACCACAAAGTACAACGGTAATAACGTATCAAAATGGAAAGAGCTTTCAAAAAAGTTCCTCTTACCTGCTAGCTTACACTTTGTAGCTTGGAATGAGAGGGAACAGAACCTTGGGTTCAATTTGTATGCTTTGCTCTTTTCAACATTTTCACTAAATCCATAGTCAACATAGCATACCTAATGATAACAGAAACAATGCTTAGGTTCAAGTAAAATTCTTTATCTTTACTTCTTAAAAAATCACTTGAGGTACTTAATTGGTTCTATTTTATTCCATGATCACCATTGAAGTGGGGCCACACTGCCTGGGAAATGCCAGGGGAGGTGCCCCTGGCTTAACCTGGAAGAGAAAGGCTGGGGCTGGGACCAGGGAAGCCAGGGCTCCTGACTTCCAGCCGCACTCCTCTACTGCACTTTCCAACAGGGAGGAAACGGAAGCCTGCTGAGCTATGATGCTCTGTTGTTGCCAACTTCTCGGCAGCAAACCCATCTGGGTCTGCCAGCCACGACTGCCCCTCCCTTTTATTAACAACATAATGCTTATTCCTTCTTGATTTACACCCTTCCACCAAGGATTTGTATCCTGAGGCAGCGCTATTTGTTCCTAGAGAGGGAGTCACTCTGATGGTATTTATCAGATTCTAAATCCCCAAAGCAGCATCCAGGATGGCTGCTCTCAGCTATGATGCTTCCAGGGACCGAGATGCTTTCTGTCGATGACAACAACGATGCCATGGCTGGGTGACACTGAATTCTACACGTACAAACAAACGCTTGCTTGTTTTGTTGTTTTCCGGGTATAGAGTTGGGTTAGGCCTTCATTTAGCTCAGCAGAAGGCCCCAAATGTGCTGGACAGAGTTCTGTGTTTGCAGAAATCTGAACCACACTTCCTCGCCGTTAGAGCAGATCATTAAGAGTCTGGATAGTATTTTTAAAGGACCTATAAGCAAAGCCCTTTTTTGAGAAAAAACATTAAGCTGTGTTTTAGAATGATAAATAAGAACCTGAGGGACACCGGGAGACTGCTCCTCTAGTTAAAGCAGTTGACTGTTATTACAAAAACAAAATAAAGCAAAGCCCAGGGCACAGAAAGACTAAGTAATCGTTTTACTTTCTGCAGCAAATTAATGTTCACAGTTTCTTAGTTCTTAGATTATGGCACCAAACACACAAAACAAAACTTCTTTCAAGCAGAGAATCTAAGGAAGATAAGGCTAGAGACCTGCCTTTCCCTGACCACCTGATCACTGGATCGGTGGAGCCTGTACATGGCCTATTGGGGAGAACTGTCTCTCGGAGTCCATATCGACTCACTGCTCCCTCGGCCTAGATCTCGGCAGGGGCCCTACTGCAGGCAGCCTGCCATTTCAGCAGACAGGTCCATGTCTCCAGTCTCAACTTAGCACCTGTTCTTCCTCCCACAGGCCTCAGGATTCAGGCAGCTTTGTTTCCTTTAATAGCTACCACCGCCTGCCACGTGGATTCTGCTCTTCCCAGACCCAAATTGGAGATACCATGACCTGACAGTAGGATAGAATATGTGATCGTGATTCCTGGGAAATTTAGAATATATTCCTAGCACCGACAAACAGGCTGAAGAATAACTGCTCTAAAATCTTCAAAAGTTTTCTGTCATGTTTAGAGCTTGTTTTCTTTTCTTTTTTTAAATCACGATATCATCTATTTGTATGGCAGCTGACGACTATGAAACATTTGCCCATGGATTACCCAGCCTGACTCTCCACACTCTGTAATATTTCTCTCTTTAATGCTGTGGATCAGCACAAACAGGCTCAGAATCCTATCAGGCCCCAGTCCATTCCTGGTTCTCTGGCACCATCAAGTGGCCAAAGATCTCACAGCACCATCTGAGCAATAACCAGCAGACTCCAGAGATGTGGGTCTGGTCAGGCAAACTGGCACCAACCTCATGTTCCTGTTTCTCATACTCACCAGTCGTGGGGCCTGCTTATATTTTCATCCAAGTACAATTTACACTGAATTAAAAATGCCCATTTAAAGTATAGTTTGATGGGTTTTGACAAATGTAGATACCACACAATCAAGATAATAGACCATCTGCCGCTCCAAAGAGTTCTCTTTCTCCTTTGCAATTAATTCCCCTCCACCTCCTGTCCCAGGCAACCACTGATCCAAGTTCTATCATACAGATAAACTTTCCCCATTCTTGACTTCACTAATATAGAATTATTTAGCAGTTCATGCCCTTTTATTGTTGAACTAGTGGCCTGGTGCATGAAATTTGTGCATGGGGGGAGGGGGGTGTCCCTCAGCCCGGCCTGCACCCTCTCCAATCTGGGACCCTTGGAGGATGTCTGACTACCTGTGGGATCAGGCCTAAACCCGCAGTTGGACATCCCTCTTGCAATCCGAGACCGCTGGCTCCTAACCGCTCACCTGCCTGCCGGCCTGATTGCCCCCAACTGGGCCCCCCTTCTGGCCTGATCACCCCTAACTGCCCCCCTGCTGGCCTGATCGCCCCAACTGCCTGCCCTTGCCGGCCTGATCACCCCCAACTTCCCTCCCCTCCTGGCCTGATAGCCCCTAACCACCTCTGCCTCAGCCCCGCCACCATGGCTTTGTCCGGAAGGACGTCCAGAAGGTCTCCTGGTCTAACTAGCTTATTACCCTCTTATAAGTATAGATAGTATGCCATTATATGGATATTCTACAATTTATTTATATTTATATATTCACCTGTTGGTGAACATTTGGGTTGTTTCCAGATTAATACTCTTAATAATAAAGCTGCTACAAATGTGTGTACAAGCTTTTTTGTGGACCTATGTTTCCTCCTGTGTAAATATTTAAGGTCCATATGGTAAAGATTTAACTTTTAAGAAACTAGAAACTGCTAGCCAATTTTCAGATTTTAAAAGTTAGGTCATCAAATTGCTTAAAGTTTTATCTTGGTAGATTTGGTTAAGGAATTTCCTAAATTTCTCTGTGAATGGCAAACGGTGGCTCGGTGGTCAGGGTATCTCCTATTGAACAAACTGGGCAAGAAACAGCCAGCCTCCCTTTCTGACCTCCTGACCCTGTATTTGAAGGCAGGGTTTCAGGGGAGAGTACCTGATGGACTGATGCTCAGATTCAGAAAGAAGCTATCTGCACTTAGGGACACAAAAGGGATTATTTGCCAGGGGCTGACACTAGCACAAGGAACGTTTTTATTTATTTTTAATTTATTTGTCCATTGCAGTTAGCATACAATATTATATTAGTTTTAGGAACACGTTTTATATTATGGGACAGAGACCATAGAAACAGAAGTGTATTTCTGTGCTTGTAAAATCGAGACAAAACAGTGTTTTCAGGGCCAGAGAGTTCTAGTTCTTAGTCTCTGCACTGAGGGAAAGAGGAGGCAATGGGGAAAGGCTGACCACCAGGGACACGCCAAGTCTTGGAGTCGCAGAGCCTGCTGAGGGGAGAGACTGGTGAAAGCCGACTAAGAAGGCAGGCCTCAGAGCATGTCTAAGTGCTATTTGGGGTCCTCAGCTGATGGCAGAAGAGGGACAGGAAGGCTGTGATCTCCTCTGATCTGTACTGTTTCCCTCACTTTGTAGTACTGACCTTGACCAGATACTCACAGAAATGTGATCAGTATTTATTCTTTTTCCCAGGCAATGAGAATAAAGGGCTCTTCCTGATTACATCATGGGTTACAGACACTTCCACGGAGAATTTTTTGTTGTTGTTTTCACTAAAACTTTGAGATAATATAACTATCACTGACTTAAAAGCTGACAGTGAAAATCTTTTATAGATTATCTTTTCAACCTCTGGAGTAAATAAAAGTTTATTTATTGTGTCCTTGGGGTACACAATCAGAAGCAGCATTTTTATTTGAAAACTCATGTGCTTGTCTTCAGAATGCTACGACAAAGTAAACAAGTGCTTGCCTTGATTCTGTTCCCTTCTGTCGAGGTGATCTGGGCCCGTAACCAAGCGTCCTCCTCGGCATGGACGGCCAGCAACTGCCCAACATGCACAGTCTGGACTGGTGTGATCCTCGGGGTCCTACTGTAATAATCCTTCATTTCATCCTCCATTAATTCCTGAGCAGCAGAGTAGTCTTTGCCCACATACCTGGATTAGTTAAAGAGGAGAACACAGATGAAGCAACACAGGAGGAGGCAATCTATAAGAATTCATTAATATTACTGTTTTCTACCTCCATCTTTGGTTCCAGTCTCAGACTTGCTTACATCAACAGGGAGACGAACATGTATTTAGCAAACAATTGTATCTAACAAAGGAAAATGTAATATTGTGGCACTCATGCAAACAAGAACAAGGTTCAATATACCACACAACAGAGAAAAAATGCTCAAGCACATGCAGTAGTTGGGGCATCTTCAGGAGGATAGGCTGAGAAAAGTCTCCAGGGAAGAGAGGAAGACACGGAATATGGAGACTCCAATGGAAGCCAGACAGCAAGAGTGGACAGAGATTTTGAGTAAGGCTGCTGGAGAGCTTTGCAGATTACTGGAAGAGAATCCAGTTGATAGTTTTGCCTTAACTAAGGCTGGGTCTAAACAAGGCCCAAGCTCTGAAAACCAGTGAAATTTTACTACAGAAAAACAAAGCTTTAAACACAACCACGTGACAACCCCTCCCCACCTTACTGAACACATTACAACAAAATATTGAGTTCTGATACCCTTAGAAGGGGCAACATGTTATAGCAAAATGCCTCTGACATTGTACTAGTATGCTTCCTGAGAAGTATGTGTTCAGGATATGTTCCTATCTCCTTCTACAATTTTCTGCTGCTGACAACTGTAGTCACCTTGTCCCAGTTCATAATACCAAAACATGCTATTTCCTTTCTGCCACAAACAGGCTGTTGGAGTTTTGCCCTTCAGTCCTCAGAGACAATTCCATCAAAGGCCTCCTTCCAGGATGCAAAACCTGATGAATCACCGTGGCTCCTGTAACAGGAGATGTCAGCCACATGATGAAGGCTTTTTAGTTAGAAGGCTAGGCTATCACCTAGCCAGGGAGATGGGGATATGCCATAAGTACATTGTTCTTTGTATTGTTCTAGCTCTTACCTAGAGTCCAAGTGGTTCTACTGAGCATTGAGATACTATTCCTTTAGGAGGGTTTTCATGTATTCTTATAATTATCACCAGAACAGAAGATACCCAGTCATCCTACCCATTACTAGAGAGGGAAAAAAGCTTTAAAATATCATACACAATATGGAAAGAATGCTTCTTTTGAGGCAAGGACCATTTTAAAACCAACTATTACATGCATACAGCTGACTCCAGAGACAGCTATAGAGCTCTGTCACACTTTGCATTTACTGAGCTTGAAGAATGTGAAGGCACTGCCTAAAATGCAGCTGTACCCTGGCTCTGAAGTCTCTTCGAGACCTGAAATTCCACCCAAGTGCTCATTTCCTGGGACTGGAGTCTCACAGGGCCTCCCTGCAGTGCAGCTCCAGCCCTGGGAGCTCACTGGCAGGGAGAGGCCTGAACAGAGCCCTCGGGCTTAGTTGTTGACCTCGCACAGGCTCCTACCGTGGAGGAGGAAGGTAGTGAGAAGCAGTGTGTGATCTGCAGGCAGATTCTGCAGCAACCAGTGGAGAAGGATGGGTACACAGCTTGGTGGAGTAGGTGGATAATATTACAGTTGGTATGATAGTGGTTAGTGGCAAGAATGAGGTCATACATTGTCCCCAAAGCAATTGGGCAAAGAATGTATGTAGGACAATTTAGGTATGCCATAAGTACAAAGTTAATTTTTGAGACCGGAGACAACATCCCATACTTGACTTGAGGGTTCTGCTATAGCACCTCTCCGGACCTTTCAAGAGTCACAGGTCTAGTTTCCAGAGCTTCCTGCCTTGCCTGAATGAAGATAACAGGTCTCAGCCCAGCTGGGATCTGCTGTCTTCAGGACAGTGGGGGATGCCAATGATCTAGGGTCAGCCCCATGGCAGGCATTACCCATCTGCTGAAATGTTCAATGCTAACTCCAGATTCAAGTTTACACTGGAAAAAGGGATCTAAATAACCTGAGGACCCTGGGCCGAGTCATCCTGGAATAGACTGGAATCTCCCTACAGAAGTCCTAGAACTGATCCAGATTTCTGCCAACCCTTTAGTAAGAACATCAGAAATCACATGATTGATCCAGCCTAAGGCTGATACCTCCAGAGATCCAGCTACACCAGTTCCCATTTTTGTTATTGTTGTTAATTCTCACCTGAGGATATATATTTTTTTCCCATTGCCTTTTCAGGGCAAGAATGGAAGAGAGAGGAGGGGGTGAATGAAAGAGAAACATCAATGTGAGAGAGACACATTGACTAGTTGCCTCCCACATGCATCCCAACTGGGGGCTGGGAAGCGAACCTGCAACCCCTTCAGTGCATAGGCCAACACGTTAACCACTGAGCACACTGGCCAGGGCCCAGTTCCCATTCTTATCCCCAGTCAGAAACCACAAATTAGAGTTTTTCAATATTTTTTATGTATTCTATATTTTCTCCAAAACTCCATGTCAAGTACCTAGAGCTGGACTGCGTTTTCTATCTCCAGTTATCATTAGCCACTCAGGTAATGACTCCTCCCTCCCAGGCAATGATATCAAAAGCCTCAAAAATCAGAGCATCTTTGGGTCCAAGGTCTAATCTGATGCATTATCCTATTTGGATTTTAAGGAAATGCTACAGAGCCCCAGATTAGTAGCATTAACTACCCAGTGGGCGACTTGCTTTTTCTATGGATGAGGTATCACTTTTGACATGGTTACCATTATGCTTTCAAAGTAGAATTTTTCTCAAGTTCGTACCATATTACCATTTCAATTTTTAAAACTGTTAGTAAGTCTTTCTCTCAACAACAGTTGTATATTTTTGAACATTTAACACATATTAAGAATATATATAGATCTTAATTTTTTTTTACCATGTTTGAGGCCAAGCATCTCTGTCTAGCTATGGAATTGTGCTAGACAGAGATAGTTATGCATCATTTGCTTTAAGCAGGGGGAACGACAATAAATAGATATTAATTTTTAAGTCCTTTGATTTCAAGTTGCTCACCATCTAGTGGACAAGACAAATGTACTTATATAACCATAATGTAGAAGAAATAAAAATTAAGTCTCCTAAGAGATACAAACAAAAAAAGTTCTGGTAGTTGAGAGAAATGTGAAAGATATAAAGAAAAAAAGAATATATTAGACTTTATTATACCTCTATAGAACTTAGACTATATTATTATTCCTCAAACCCCAGCACCCACATGAAAAATAAGCAAGTAACAACAGTACACCAGGATCCTAAAAATTTAGAAAATAAAACTTGCCTGATGACCACTTCATTTGTGTTGCTCAGTTCAACCACCAATACTGATGGGGATGCCTCAGTTGGAATGACTAGCGGAGGAACTGTTACATTCTCCAAAATGGTATCGGCACTTTCGACAGCATTCTCTTCTATCTGCATATATTCTTCTTCAATCATGGACCTGAAAGCATAATCACCGTGTGCGTGCCCTGCATCCATCAGGGTTTTGTTAGCGGGCAGTGGAAGTTTAGCATAGAGAATGGCCTTCTTGCGATTTCCAGAAATGTAGTCTATGGTGCATACATCAGAAAGCAAGGCAAGATTTTTTAAGGCATCCTCGGGGAATTTTACTTTGTACGTGTCCTCAAATGCTTTTGGAAGTGCATTGGCCCAAAGACCATTTGAGTATTTCACCAGCAGCTCTGAGACTTTCTCTTTAAAGTCTCCTGGCATGACTGTGGGACACCCTCTTAGTGGAGCAGGAAGTGGAGATGGAGGCACTTTTTCAGGGTCCGGTTCACTTCTCAAAAGCTGCTTTCTCTTAGCTGGATAAAGAAGCAAGTCTTGACCACCACTGTAAGGTCTTTCCACCTGAAATTTTTAAAGAAAGCAAATGATAGATAATTCAATGACTATAAACAATCTGAAAACACAGTACTAGAAATTCATTTCAAATTTAAGAACAACACTGTTTTAAAACTAATCAAGAGAACACAAACGTGTACATTTGACTCAACTACGAAGACTTTAATGCATTGCCTTTACCTGAAAATTACACCACGAGACACATTTCAGAAATAAAATAGCATGAATTTCCCTGGGAGGTATCTGGCCTCCAATAACCCTAGGAAACCATGAGTGGTCCTGCCCTGTGTGCTGCACATCTCATTCAGTTCTCTCTGCCAAATCCAAAGCAACAGTTTACAAAACTGACTGAACGCGAGGTGGAACGAAGCTGTGAAAAAGTGTCAGACTGTCAGAAATAAGCCACAGGGAAGAAAGCTAGGAAATATTTAGATAAAACACAAGTACTGTCTCTCCTCTTCCTGCAATAGCCTGAGGAGACATTCAGCTTTCCATCATTTAGAAAAAGACGCTCCAGAGGTAAGGTACTGTTTCCACATCCACCACAGTTCAAGGTTAGCTGCAGTTTTTGGCATCCTAGACACAAATGCTCATACCTAATGATTGACAGTTTCATCTAAACCAGTGGTTCTCAACCTTCTGGCCCTTTAAATACAGTTCCTCATGTTGTGACCCAACCATAAAATTATTTTTGTTGCTACTTCATAACTGTAATGTAAATATCTGATATGCAGGATGGTCTTAGGCGACTCCTGTGAAAGGGTCATTCGACTGCCAAAGGGGTCACGACCCCAGGTTGAGAACCGCTGAAAAAACAGTCCTACTCAAAGTTGAGAGACACAGAATATAGATAAAAAGGTATATTATATTTCTGCTTTATGTTCCACTCTCACTGCTGCACAGAAAATTACCATGCAACAAAGATGACTTTAGTGTTGAAAAAAAGCAACCAGAAAACAAAGTCAGTTGTTTAAGAACCTTAAATTTAGTAGGAAACCACTCATTTTGGGCAAAGTTTTAATATCAAAGAGACATTCTCCACCTACAATCCTAGCAAGAAAAATTCCGGGGCTTTGCATATACGTAGAGTAAGCAAGGATGAAAAATTTTCCTCAAAAGCTATAAATTTAAAAAAAAATTAAAAATATTTTTTAAAAGCCACAAATTAAGCCACACTAATAGTAATTATCATGGCATATAAAATAGAGTAACCAGAAACAACACAGTAAGAAGAACCTATGAAGTTAATTTTTAAAATTGTAGCTCCAAATTTGCTTTCTTTATCAAAGCTTAGTAATGAGTTATATGTGTATCTTGATTCTAAAAGGGCTTTAAGCTTGTTGAAGACACGCTATAAGAACATGATTGTCTATGCATTTTAAAAATGAAACAATATGTATTCCAAGAAGGAACTCTAGGCCCTGAACCTACAAATCGAGCATTGTTGGTAAAATCTCAAAAGTCCTCCAGATTAGGGAATTCTGCGGAGGTACATCAATATTGCTAAACCTGCACCCAGTGAGAAATCCTTCCCAGAAAGGAGTAAAAATGAAATGAAGTGACTAGCATTCTTGGGAATTCCTACCATAAAAATAAACTCCACATTCCACATAAATCGGGGATATCATTAAGCATTCTTGACTTTATAAATAGGGTGACAGCCGTATTTCCAGAGTTTGACTTTTCACACTATACAGCCTAACACATCACACTGCCCTCTAGTGTTCTTAACACTGAAGACAGTGCCTGGTACATGCAGGTGCACAGTAAATGGTGTATGAACAATCAGGATGGATCAGTGTATGAATCTTGCCTGGAAAGCGCTTGGGACTCAAGCAGGTGTCAGTGGCCTGAAGGAAAAAGTGATTATAAAAACATATGCTGTCTTTAGGCCAGGTGCTTATAAAGAGGAAGTGGTCTACACTTTGCCCAACAGGGTTTGGGCCAAAATATATTTTAATTTAAATAAATGAAAGGCCTCTTTCAAATACTAATCATCATGCATATTTAATTCTATAAGCTTCGAAGCAACAATAGCAATGCTACCATTCACATTGTTGAACCTATTCTGTGTAAATAAAGCATTAAGAAATATCTAAAAGTTACTTTGGTTTAAGACTCTAGTAATCCTATTCTGGCTAAGATTTCTATTAAATTATTCTGATCCATCATTTTATAATAACAGACTCTCAGTGGGAACGTGTATGGAAATTGATGTCAACTCACTTTTCAATGTTTTTTCTCCAAAGAAGTTTGTAAAAAATTTAAATCTCAACCCTATATTAATTTTAAAATAAAAAGAATGTATTTCTTATAAATAATTAAAATAATGAAGTATATGTTTAGTTACATATATTAGTATAGTTATATGTAATATATATTAGTATCATTACATATACTATCTATAGTTATATTGTTATATTAGTAATATAATATCCTATCTAATAATAGACAAACATGGTAATTGACTGTACCTTCGTTACACCTCCCATTGGCTAGTCAGTGCAATATGCAAATTAACCACCAACAAAGATGGCGGCTAATTTGCATACTGCAGGCAGGGCGGGACAGCGCCA